CAATAAGTAAAAACTGTGAAAATTGTGAAAGCTGCCAGTTATTGAACGAAAGCCATATACATTATTATTTAAATATATAAGTTCCTTCGTTATTCAGTCAATCACTTAACGAATTTAATTCTCACCCCAAATAAAAAGCGACATATTTCTGACTAAAAGAGAGATCAAAATACATTGCCACTTGTTGCGTAAAAGTTAATTAAAGTAAAGAATAAAGTAAGTATTAATTATTCCTTAAAGTATACATGATTCTTTCCTGTATTATCTTAACATTCACTGCTCCATATAGGCAAGTCCTGTTTTAGAACAGGCAATTGATCAGATTAAAGAATATATAAAAAGTTTTCTGTGCATTTACATGTATATAGTCTCTGCGAGAGATGTGACTAAATAAAATTAATCGCATAAGATTTTAATGGTCCTTTACTCTCTTACATAATTGTTATTGAAAAGTTATAAAACAGAATATCTATAATATGAAACTTTTCTGGTTCATACATTGAAATGTTAAAATAAAATTAAGTACAAAACACATTGTCAAGCAAAGTTTTGTATGAACTCTTAAATATATGCTCAAATTTAGAGAGCTGTGATGAAGTTTATCACACTATTACGTAGTTGCTCTTTAAAAATGGAGAATCAAGCTCAAAGATTAGATTTACTTTATATTCTTCAACTTTAATTTTAATATTCTCCTAATAAAAAGTATTAAGATGATCATGTCACTAAGTTAAAGAAAAGTATCTCTATTTGATAGATGTTGTCCGTATCTAGCGTACGTAATTAATAAAATCTGATATATTTGTATTATAAATGTGTAATAGAAAGATAAAAACAAACAAAATATGCTAAGTAAGAAAAATCATTTAAGAACTATAGAAAAAAGAAAGATCTTAGAGTACGAAATAAAATGATTATAAGAAATACAAACACATCCCTCTAATCTAAGTGTCGCTGCCTAAGAATGGGTGGGTTTGCACGACTTTAAGTGCGTTTATTAAAAATTTGTCTCTTTTAAAAAGTACATAAAAATCTTTTTTTTCTTTTATCTGATCATTGAGAATTAAAAAGCTCTGCAGCGAAAATTCTTACTGTTAGTCATAATAGAACTAAGAAAAAACAAAAAAAAAAAAAAAAAAAAAAAAAAAAAAAAAAAAAAAAAAAAAAAAAAAAAAA